CCCCTGATCTTATGCACCTATTATTTTATCATTTTATTATTTATTTTGATTTTTTATCCATTTAAATCAAAATAAATCAATTTAAATAGTAGAATAATTAAATAAAATCAAAGATTTGATTTTATGAGCATATTATGAGTCCATGAACAGCTAGCAAATCAAAAAATTCATGCAAGAGCCAATTGATTGGAAAAGATCTTAATTTGGTCTATTTTGGAAACAAATCATACAAGACAAAGAATGAAATCAAATCTCCATAATTTGCAAAGATATGATTAGTTTTTATTGACCTAATTCCTTCTAATACAAGGACATAACATTCTCAAGGAAAAAAAAAGAGGCTTTGGGGTCGTGAAAACAAAGGAAGAAGTGTCAATTTTTTGTGGAAAAAGTGTAGGTCGGTTTTGATTCTATAGGCCGTTTCAAGAAATTCCAAGGCTAGCAATATGTTCTTGGATATTTTATGAAGCCTTTCCAATCATCCTCAAGCCTTAAAACCTTCAGAAATCACGCATCACAGTGCCACGGTTTGCATCTTTTTTCAAGATTCTTTTTCAATGATTTATCCATCATAAACATGTTTTGATCATATATCCATGCTTGCTATCATATTTGCAATGTTTTTGATTGGTTTGATTGAAGTTTAAGTGCAGGAATGACACGATGCAATTGTTAGGGTTTTGAGGTCTCAAATTGGGAATTCTATATAAAGGCAAAATTGGACAAAATTAGGGGTACTATCATGCTCAGAAGATGATTTGCAATTGATCCATGCCTTTGGTTTGAATTTATTCTGCGTGTACTGCATTTTTGAATTTTGTAGGTTTTTAGTTACGAACAAAATTCGTCACTACAACCTATAGTGACAGAAAACTACTGTAGCTAAAAGTTCCCCATCTAAAACGACGGATCCCTGAAGAAGATGATGGTGTGGTGCTCACTGATTCATCCATTCAAACTATTGGGGACCCACAACGCGTGCGTTTTTGACATGTGGCCATAGATCTTTATTTGCCTTATATTTATTTTGTATTATTTTATTAACAATTAACACGCTTGGTTCAGTTGGCAAGGCAGGACATGATAAGGCTTTAGTCAAAAAAGGGGTGGGTCCGATCCAGCCCTTTTGCAAAGTTAATTTTCATTAATTTGTGTCTTCAGATCTAATGCTCCAAGTCCCTGCGCGCTCCTCAAGCACTTCATCACCATACCACAAGATCTCATCATATCCAAATCTAACACTCAACACATGCAGACCATGGTGAACCCTCAAATGTGGCCAGCATTGGACCCAAACGCCTGATTGGGCCAAAGGATTTGGGCTCAATGAAATTCAACTTCACACCCCCTAATCTGCTTTCACCACAGGCCCAATTACTTTCCTTCTTTATTTTCTTTTATTTTATTTGATTAATTTCTTTTTACAAAACAACAAAAAAAATCATTTTTTTATTTAATCATAAAATCAAGAAAACCACAAAAATATAGAATTAGGTTTTTTTATTAAAATTAGTTTTTTTAAAACAATTAATTTAATGATATTGACTTGATTGTTTTCATAATTAAAATTAATTAGACAAATTATGTTTAATTCACAAATATTTAATTTTCTCAATAAAATACCAACAAATATTTTTCTTTAATTAATTAGATTTAGGTTAAGATTTCAAATATTTTTCTCAATAATAAAATACAAAAAAAATATTTTCTCTTTAATTGATTAGGTTTTTAGAATTTAAACTTTGATTCCCGTATTTAATTCTCGCGCGCAATATTTTATTTTCCAATTATTGTATTTGCTTCGGGGTTGTAATAGTTTTTAATTAGGGCTTACCGCATATTATTTACTGTTTAATCCCCGGTTTTTGGTTATGTAAACCCCTCCCCGAGGCCTTGTAATATTGTAGGACTCTTTTATTTTCTCGCTTTTAATTTATATGCTTGTATATAATTGTTAGCAACCTAGGTTTGTATGCTTAATCAATTAAATAGATCATTTAATTACAAGATAAATATCTGAAAACAAACACTACTGCACACTTCCACCCTTAGGGTATGTCTCACTTGGTTGCCTCGGAAAACAATGGTCATGTCCCTCAAACGTAGGGATATCTTAGCAAAGACCCTCGGTATAAAAGTCATCATAAAAGATCATGGTCCCTTACTGTCCCTCGAGTTGCCTACGAGAAATGATCTGGTCCCTCAATGTTGCCTACTAATATATGATAACGGTCCCTTCGAAATGCTAAGGTATCCTTACATGTTGCCTTCAATGACCATAATGTCCTTTTCGAATGTCCCTTAAAACTCCAACGATGGAGCTACCTACTCCTTAATAGTAGGATAGCGCTGTCTAAAGGAAACGAGAATGAAAAGTCTTTTTTCGAGTAGGTAGAAAATCTTAAGTACTTGCTCAATACAACAAAACTTTTTCACAAACAGTTTTCAAAAATGACTTCGTCACGCTCTTGAGGACTGATACAAGGGTTATTACGAAGTAAACAAAACTTTTCAAAACACAAGCACAAAAGCAATTTAAAAATGAGCAAGTACCTAAGAGCCCATGGAAAACCACGGATAGAGTACTCAGAAATATCTCGAAAAAAAGTTTTTTCTGTTCTTTTTCCTTTTCCTTTGTTGGATGAAATAAAAATCGGTGGCGACTCTTGCTTATCGCAACATTTGTGAATACAAAATGCAAACCAGTATTTAATGCCGGTTCTGCCACCGTATCACAGACTTTATCATGTCAAGTACCAGTTTCTTATTCGGTCAGATCCTCTTTACCTTATCTTTTACCCTCTTATACATAGGATACTCTCTTCATCTCCCCTCATTCTTTAATTTTCAAAATCTTCTCATCTTTTTCAAAACCTTCTTTGTTTATAAACTCGAACCACTTTCATAATAAACCTAAAATTTTTTGAGTGCTTTTTCTTTTAAAACTTATTTTCTTTAAACAAACTTCAATTTATTTAATCATACTTCGATATCTTTCAAAATTAACAAAAACACTTCAACTCATTCAAACCTTTTTGTGCCCTCTTGCACCTTTTATCCTTTTAAATTTTTTTTCAAGATTAGATATTATTCATTTATAATCAAATATCATCCTCCTATCCCCATGGTTATAAAGGTGTCGACTTTTCCACTTGAGTAATAGAGGTGTTCTCAAGCCCTCACTCTTGCTGATGCAAGGTCCATTTTTCTCACACCTTGTGGGCGTTAGTCGATATTTCTCTTCTAAAAATGACAATTAGTATCTTCGTTTAAAATCAATCAACAAACAAGTATTTTCTAGTCAAACTATAGTGCTCTGACTTTCCCATTGCACGAGGGAGTACGTAGGCACTAAGTCCCACGACCCAATGCAAGCAAAAAAAACAAAAAAAAACAAAAAAAAATATTTTATTTTCTTTTGTTTGTAAATACTCTTTCATTCACTCCCTTTAGCAAGTAAGCCTTTACATAACACACCTTTTTAAAGAAAATAAACAAAATGGATCATGCGGAGTACTGTAGATGCTTAGGGTGTTAATACCTTCCCTCAGCATAAACGAACCTCGTACCTTGATCTCTGATCTTTTATTTCATTGTGGGTTTTGTTTTATTTTTCCCATTTCACTTTGGAAACAATAAAATACGGTGGAGACTTTATTGAGTGAGATAAGTTAATTGATGACTTCATCTCAAATCTTTACCGCTACATTTTTCATATTTTTACACAGTGCGACAATGTCTTTATAGATGCCTTCCATGAATTTGCATTTCAGCAAATCGGTAAGGCCTATTATTGTCATATGATTATTGATAACAATAACATGCTCCTGTGGGTTAGTTTTACCGTCATAGGATGTGAGCGACAGTAATTTGAATTTCTCATGGACCTGGTCGTCCCATATAGCTTGAGAAAGCGGTTAAGGCTCCAAAAGCTTATCTTCTAGTTGTTCATCCCCTTGGCTTCTTTGTTACAGGTCAGTCACGCTGTTCTGCAGAGTTTCATTTTGTTATCTGAGGGCCTCCACCATGGTAAATAGTTGTGTCATGCTGAGGGGGATCCTCATCAGTTGACATTCTGGTGTGATTTGAGGTGTGACCTAGGACAGTTTTACCGAGTCCCCACGGTGGGCGCCAAATGTTATTGCTAAAAACACTAAAACAAGTAGCTTCCCTATAAGTATAGGGAGAGCCGCAAGGGGTAAATTTTGTAGAGTATTTTGGGATTTGGGAGCTATGACAATGGTGTGTATTATCTCAAGAATGTATGTCTTGCTTATCCCTCTGGTAGGAGCCCCTTATATAGTCCTTCTTTAGCGCCATTTAAGAGCCTCAATCAAGGTGTGACCTTGGGGATTCATAACTGTGTAACAGCCGCTGTCACCATGAATGAAGGTGTTCAAAGTCATGTAACACTGGGTTTAATGCGTCGGCAACCATTACATCCATTAAAGATCTGGGTTGATGACCGACTATGGGTAGGTGAATTTCAGTTGTGAATTTCGTCCGGGTTGATGGCGCATATGGGTTGCTACCCAGAGATAAGTATGGTCATCCCAAACCTTTAGTTGAGTTTCACCTCCTTCCGGATATCCCTCACTATTAAGGGCCGATCACTAATTTTGCTCTCCTTCAGTCAATTTCATGACTCGGTCGGGATCAATATTTATGGGATGCACAATATTGTTGTAGCCCATGGTGTTGTTATTAATAACCATGATGAGAAAAGAAAATTTACATCAAATTCATAAGGAGAATGATGATGTGTCCCCCGAGAATAAATTCGTGAGTGATGATGATCATGTCCATGAATATATTGAGGTTGATATTGTTGTAGCCCATGGTGTTGTTGTTAATAACCATGATAAGAAAAGAAAATCTACATCAAAGGGAAAAAGGATGATGATGTGGAAGTTGATGACATTCCTTTTGCTAACATAATGAAGAGAATCATGGAGAATATAACCAAGTCTTAAGACAAGGCTACTCAAGAAAAGGATCATATGGTGAATAATGTGAGTGCCAACATTGATGATGTTGTAAATGATTATGTTAGTGTTGAAGATGGTTCTACCCCTAAGAACAATGAAGTTCATGATGGGTTTGCTCCTATCAATGAAGGTGTTATTAAATATGTTGATATTAGTAAAAGGTATGATAAGAAGTCAAATAAAATGGTTGGTAGAAAAAATATACCCACAAGTGTTTCTATTTCTCTTTTAAACAACATGTCTTTCCATTATGAGGAAAGTGTGTTGAAGTGGAAGTATTTGTATCATAAGAGGATATCCCTTGAAAGTAAGCTGCCAAAAGAAGCTTTGATATTTGAAGAGGTTTTTTAGTTGATGGAGGATGATACTACGAAAAATAATGAGAATTTTATGATAGTTCACATTTTTTACATGTGTGGCAAGATGGTGGAGCATTTTATTCAACAAATGCAGTCTGAATTTGAGTTGATCATGGTAGGACATGTTACCTACTTTCCTAATTTTCAAGTGAAGAAAATGAATGACTACACCTTTGATTCCCAAAATATATATGTTGGAAGTAGTTGCACTCAACTGTTGTAGAATAACCTAATTCTCAAAGATGGTAATGAAGATGTCAACCATGATGTGCCAAACAACCTTTATGACATGTTGGTGACTGATTTTCCAACTCAGAGGAAGGATGAGAAAGTTTCCCTTGTTAACTCTTATGTGAATAAAAATCTTTTTCAAATAGGTGACTATGACATAAATGATGAAGAAGATTTTTTGGACATGGTATCCATCATAAGGAGAAAGGTAGGTAGAAAGAGGACTCATGTGAATGTTTTTGTTGCTCCTCTGGATAATGTATCATTCTATTCTAAAATAAATTTTTCAGAAGTGGAAATATGTTTTTCTAAGAAGGTTGCTTGTGAAAAAGAGCTAGTTACAAATGCTCTTAATTGTAAATAGATTATAGATCCGATAAAAGTTATTAGGTTAATGAAGAATTTTACTAATATTGTTCCTTCCTGTGAAAATATGGTGCATGATAGAGAAAAGTGTGTGAAGCTTTCACCTTCAATTATTAATTAATCAGAAAAAAGCAAGGTTCCCTCTATTGATAATATTAACCAAGAAAATGGAAGCCAACGAGGAAGAGGAAACTGCAAGTGAGGATGAAGAAGAACATTATATTGAATCCCTAAAGTATAATGAAATTATGGAGCTTCTTAGTGATGCTCAGTTGTTGAAGAAAATGCTGAACGTTGAAGCTTGTTATCCCAAGTTGATGTTGAAATTTATGGTTAAGAATGATGATGTTTCTCATGGTTGTTGAGATTCACTTATAAGATGTTTGTGTGGAAAGATGTAGACATTGTGCCCAACATTTGTGCACCTGTTTGGGGAAATTGATAAGGTGTTTTATGAATAAATGTTGGAGCTTTTTCACCTTAATATATTGTTGCTGCTACTTTTATTTTGGTGTTCCTTTTGGTGAAGATGGTATTGTGTCCTTTGTTGAAGATTGTTCCTTTTTGAGGTCTTTTGGCTGAAGATATATGTTGGTCTAGTTGGATTTTGTTCATGTCAATCTTGTGTTATGGATTGTGAAGCTTGATGTTTTGTTTGTGGTTCTTTCCATACCTTTGCCAAATTGTGGAAAAAATGGGGAGTAATGATCATGTGGGACAAGATGTTCCAGCATGATGTGATGTGTGTGAGATATGGTGTAATATCTTGATGTGTAGCAACCACCTTATTTATGTGCTACTTTTGTTGTTGTTATTTGCTCTATTTGTTTTGAGGTGTGATATGGTGTGGTACTTAGGCTACTTCTTAAATATGACATCTTGTAAGTTGGTTTAGCCAAAATTTGCCAAATGGGAAGATTGTTGTTCCTTTGATTGGTTGTATTATGTAAAACAATATAAGTACAAGATGTATATTTTGTAGAGGTAACATGTGGAACAAGATGTTCCAGCATGTGTTCCAGCACAAGGTCTCAGTCTACATACCAAGTCTTGTGAATGAATTTGTGTGCGTTGATGTTTGATTTTTGGAAGATTTGTTGTTATATCTTTTAGAAAATAATATTGAGTAATATTTACTAAAAACATTTTATTAATCCATAAGTTTGAATAAGATTTAATTTAGATATTAATTAATTAAAAATATTTGGAGTTGGAATATCTTTCTTGGATTTGTATTGAAAAAAATATTTAATTGGATATATTTTGAAGATAGATTTGGTTAACTTTTATCCAAGATTGTGCTGAAGATTTGATTAAACAAATATTCCATGAAGAGATTTAATGGGATTTGTTTAAATTACAAGATATAAATTTGCGCTTAATGAGAATATCTCCAATCTAAGATTGAGAAGTATGGTCCAGTTCTAGCAAGTGATTATTCTAAATTCTTTACTTGAGAAGTTGGAATTATGAGTTGTATGAAGTAAAGATATTATTTGATTTTTTTCAAAGATTTAGCATTATGTCTAAAGGACAAATGTCGAACCAAATGTTCCATCATCTGTGCAACATCTGGCCTTTGACAACATGTTATGATTTTTGTTTTTCTAAGCACTAATTATGGAGATTTTGCAATGTGATTGGTTGTTATATTTTGCAATGAGTTATTTTATATGTTTGTTAAAGATTTGCTGAGATCAATTCAATTTAAATGGATATTTAAACTTGAATTTGAATTAAATCAAATCATGTATTTTTTGATTTTTTGTGGAAAATAAAATAAAACCTAATCCTCTATATTTTTGGACATGATCTTATTCAAGGAGAAAATCCCAGAGTTAGCATTTCTATATAAGGAGATTGAAACCTAGAGTTTGAGGTGTGCATGTATTGAAGAATCTTTGTGTTAGGGTTTAATGTTTTGAGTGTTTGTTTGAGTTATTGTTTTGCACCACTTTAGCGTCTGAATTCATATTTATTAAGGAGTAGAGTTTGGTTTGTTATTTGAGTGGTAATAATTTATTCCTAGATATTAATTCTGTAAGCTTGAGAACAAAGTTTTTGTGGGAGTTTTAAATTGCTCCGTCTAATCAATCATATTGTTTTGTTAAAAACCTTGGGAGAGTGTTTGAGTGAAAGTGAGAAGGTTCTCATATTTAGGGGGAGTTTAGAACAAAGCTTCACGGGTAGTATTAGTAAAATGGCTTTGAACTGGGAGAGTTCAGAGTAAGCTCATTTTTCCCTCTGACTATTGGGAGAGAAATAGTTCTATAGGGAGTCCTAAATATAAAGTCACTATGATTATGAAGAGACTTTGAACAACATGGGGTTATTTTTATTATAAGACTTATTATTCTAATTCAAAGTAATGAAATCACTTTCTTGGATAGAGTACCCTCCATACGTAGGTGTGGTATCAGTGAACTCGATTACCAATTCTTTGTGTTATTTACTACTTTAATTGTTATTTGGTATATATTTTGCAAATTGATTATTTATGGTATACAATGTCCCATACACAGTGTTTGACATCTGTCATAAACCAATTGTACATGTTGTCAAAGGACTCTGATCAAACATATGTCCTCCTGAGAACAAAATTTCAATATGATGTTGTATATACTCTTGAGAAACTCACTATCACCTTGAGCACTTAGGTTTGCTCCAAATTACGGTGTTTGGACAGTCGTTGTTCCTAGAAGAGGAATGATTAGATCTACATGTGGAGGAACATTAATGCCATGATTTGTTCGGTCTAAAGGAGGATGAGTTGTGTTTCCTTGACGGACAGTTGCATGTGTTAAACTAGTAGTATCTAGAGAGACTTCCTGTGTAGTGGTGGAATGAGTATCTCTAGATCCATACATTTACATATTTGAAAAGATCAAAAGCAAATAAGTCTAAAGATCTGAAGAATCAGCGAATATTAATCAGCATAAAGTTCAAATTGATTGAACAAAATTGAATTTTATGCTTGATTCTCTAAATATCCATTCAGAGGGTGAAAAGAACTTCACACTGGAAAATTTAATTTAAAGATAGAGAAACATAGTAAGTCCGAGAATAAAAAATTATTTCCTAGAGACAGTGTCATTGTTCCATTCTAGAACCAGAAATAGAGAGAGATGCAAAAGATGTGGCATATGAGAGCTTCTAATATGGCAGAGCAGAGATGTACCTACAAGGTTGGCACTCCAACACTCAAGTCAGTATGTGAAAGAGTAGAGAGTATTTAAATTGTGTTTTAAAAACGGTTACCTGAAATGGCATCATTCCTTATATATAGGGGAGAGGAATAACAAATTTGATATCTTTTAGGCATTGAATATGGAGGATCGTTGGATGTTCTTGGGCATAAATATCATGTAGCAAGGTGTAGGATAGTCCTGTCGTAAAGAGAAGATTCTAGAAACATAACTGTGTAGTCGATCGAGAGGTTTTTTCCCGAAACAGACTATCTTGGGATGGTTGGTCTAAGGGGATTATGGTCAGACCAAAAAAGACCAACTTAAGAAATTCTTGTTATGATCTTTCAATAACCACTTGTCACTCATTCAGGGACATTTTTCCTTAGTAAGTCTTTTGTGAATAATAAGTAAGGTTGAACTTCATCCATATTATTCAATATATACAAATGTGCTTGAAAAAATATATCTTAAGCCATTGGCTTAACATTTAAATCTTTAGTACCTCTATCTTCTTATTTGTCATCATGACGAGAATTTGGAATTCCTATAGACTTTGCTTTTGACTAATAATTTGAATAGAACTCAACAACTTCTTGTGTGATGCACCTTTCAACGATCGAAACATCTGGTTAGTGATAATTCTTTATATATCCTTTAAAGATCTACATGTATCGCTCCATTGGATATATCCACCTTAAATAAGTTGGACCATAAAATTTGATTTCTCTAACTAGATGAACAATTAAGTGAAGCATAATGTCAAAAAATGATGGAGGGAAATACATATCTAATTGACACAAGATTATTGCAGCCTCGTCTTCCAATTCATCAGAGTGTTTAAAATCAAGTAATTTATTACATAAGAATAAGCACAATTTTATTATAGTTATCCTTACATTTTTGTATAAGATGCCACAGAATGTCACTGTTAGAAGTTGTTGCATCAAGACAAGAAAATCATGATATTTTAAGCAAATTAACTTGATAAAAGTTTATTGATGTTTGATGAGTTCCTTTGGGGAACTTTGATACCATACAAACACTCACAAATACTTTTCTTTTCCTTTTTAGATAGAGTGTGACATACCGAAGGCAAATAAGTTTTTTTTCTTAATTCTTATAGAGCCAACTATTGTGGTATACCCATCTCCACCATATCTAGACGAAAAATCTTAATATATTTAGTATTACCTTGAACTTTTATAAGTGCTCCAATCCAACTAGCATACACATTTTTCTCTACATGCATCCCATCAAAAAAATATCTTACATCGAGGCTAAACTAATATGAAAGATCAAAGAACACCAACCTAGTTTTCCAAATATTTTTCTCAAAGGGACCTTTTTTATTCTTTACAAAGACAAAATTAATGTGTTATTGTCATTTATAAACTCCATCTATGGTTAAGGGCTTAAGAGCGGTATCAAACTCCTGCTCTTCGTTAATTTTTTTTCAATCTACGATATGGATGATTGGGTTTTAGAAATTTACAATGCCCAAGGTAAACTATCTTTTTCCCAATCTGAAATTGGTCGAAACACATATTAGATTCACATATAGGAAATATTTTATGTCCCTTGACATTTTATCCATCCAAATTACCATATGCGGGAAAGTCGTTGATTGTGCAAAAAAAACATGACATGCATCTTAAACTTTTCACCTAAATACACAGAGTCAATGTCAACGCCTTCCTTCCACAAAACTCTTAAAATAAATTAATGAAATTAGATAAACATCTACGTCGTTTCCAGGTTATTTTAGCCCCAAATTCATCATAGATAACAACATATATTTGAGCTTTATGCACAACCAAAGAGATAGGTTGTAAATATTGAGAAGAACAAACCACACACTATGACTAGTACTCAGATTACCAAAGAAGTTTGTTCCATCCGTGCCAAGTCAAAGCCTAAGGTTTCTTGGCTCATGGCCAAAATATGGAAACAACAAATCAATTTTCTTCCATTGCAAAGAATCAGCTACATGGAAATTTTTCGCATTAGCAAAAAGTCTCTTAAACCTTGGAACTATTGTCAGAAAGCATAACACTTTGGCAGGAGGATGTTTCTTGCAAACATCGTCATCATCATCACCACTATTGTCTTTCACCTTGGGTCATACCCCAAATTTGCCCCACATTGGGGTTAAAAGCCAGTTCATTTTATTTTAGACA